TCTTGAGGGACTTTGAGCTACCCCTGCTACCCATGGAAGCTGGAGTTGTTTCCGCTGTCTGCAGGAGTTTGTTTCTTCCTTAGCCCTCCTCTTCTGGGAGTTCTCACAAGCCTCCATTAGACCTTTTGACACAGTTAGTACGTGAGTACCTTCTACTGTCACCACCAGGACATGAGAAGGTGCTGGAGCCCCTGCCAGAGCATCCATGGGAGCTGAGCCCATGAGGGAGTACAAAGAATATGAGTGGAACTCTAGTATTGCAGTTGGTGATTGTGGGGAAGTTCTCCATTTGGACTTCAGAATCCAGTTCCCCTAGAAATAGCATTATAGAGTAATAACCTGCCTATATAGAATAAGTTATCTGACATTCACCTATCCAGACTATAGCCAGAAATTAAGCAGTAAACAAATGGCCTCTAAGCAGCCTAATAACACACACCTTACTTATTGGAAAAGCCATTCAAAACTGTACTCAAACACTCATACCTTACGCCAGATGCAAAAATTAACTCAAAATGGATCAGTAACCTAAATATAAGAACTAAAACCTTAAAACTCTTAGAAGAAAACAAAGGGATAAAGCTTTAAGACCTGGTTTTTGACAATGGATTCTTAGATATGACACCAAAAGCATGAGCAACAAAATTAAAAAGTAGATAAATGGGATTTCATCAAAATTTAAAATTTTGGTGCATCAAAGAACTTCATCAAGAAATTGAAGGGACAACCTACAGAATGGGAGAAAATATTTGATAACCATGTGTCTGATAAGGTTTAATATCCAGAATATATAAAGAACTCCTACAACTCAACGACAAAAAGACAAACAACCCAATTAAAAATTGCACAAAGGACTTGAGTAGATATTTCTCCAAAGAAGATATACAAATGGCCAGTAAGCATATGAAAAGATGCTCAGTGTCACTGGTCATTAGGAAAATGCAAATCAAAACCACAATGAATACCACTTCACACCCACTAGGATGGCTATTATCAGAAAAGCAAAATAACAAATGTTGACAAGAATGTGGGGAAGTTGGAACCCTAGTGCATTACTGGTGGGAAGGAAAAATAGTTCAGGGGCTGTGGAAAACAGTTTGGTGGTTCCTCAAAAAGTTGAACATAGAACTACCATATAACCCAGCAATCTCAATGCTAGGTATATATCTAGAAGAAATGAAAGCAGGATCACAAACTGAAACCTGTACACTAATATTCATTTGTAGCACTTTTCATAATAGCCAAAAGGTGGAAACAACCTAAATGTCCACCAACAGATAAATGGATTAAGAAAAATGTGATATATACATGCAGTGGAGTATTACTCAGCCATAAAGAGAAATGAAGTTCTGATACATGCTACAACATGGATGAACCTTGAAAACATTTTGCTGAGTAAAATAAATCAGATACAAAAGGACAAATATTGTATGATCCCACTTGTATGAGATATCTAGAATAGGCAAATACATAGAGACAAAAGTTTATTAGTGGTTACCAAGGAGGGAGAGAGGAATGGGGAGTCGTTGTTTAAGGCATGCTGAGTTTCTGTTTGGAGTGATGAAAAACATTTGGAAATAAATTGTGGTGATGGTTGCACAACTTGGTGAATGCAATTAATGTCATTGAATTGTACGCTAAGAAATGGTTAAAATGGCCATTTTTTTTGTTTCTTATATTTTGCCACAATAAAATTTTTAAAACCATACTCACTGCCTGTTTATTTTGTGTGTATGCATGATTCTGATCAGTTTTAACTAGACATTAAGTCTGTAGCAGATTATAAGCAGCAAATTTGAAGGTACTGGAAAAGATGTGACAGGTAGGTGAAGTGAAATCTGATAGGCTGACAACAACAAGGTAAAAGACAAAAAAACATTAAAAAGCAGTTTAAAAACTCAGAAACCAACCACAATGAAACACTAGTTCACATATTCCAGAATGACTAAAATTAAAAATACTGACAATGCCAAGTGTTGGTGAAGTTGTAGAACAACTGGAACTCTCATACATTGCTGGTGAGGGTATAAAATGGTACAGTCACTCTGGAAAACAGTTTGGCAGTTTCTTACATAAAATAGTTGCCATACAACCCAGCAGTTCCACTCCTAGAAAAATGAAAACATGCCCATAAAAAAACTTGTACATGAATGCTTACACCAGCTTTATTCATAATAATCCCAAGCTGTAAATAAGCCAAATGTCCATCAACTGGTGAATGCATAATAAATTGCGGTAGAGCCATACAATGAAATATAATTCAGCAATAAAAAGGAATGAACTACTGCTGCATGGAACAGCATGGATGAATATCACAGACATTATGTTGAATTAAAGCATCCACACACAAAAGAACACATATATGATTCCATTTACGTGAAATTCTAGAACAGGGAAAACTAAGCTATGGTGATAGAAATCAGAACAGTGCTTTCCTCTGGGGGGCTGCAGAATGACTGGAAGGGGCATGAGGTAAAATTCTGTGGTGATATAAATGTTATGTATATTGATTTGGGTGGTGGCTACAAAGGTGTGTACATTTGTCATAACTCTTGAGCTGTATGCTTAAAATCTGTGCATTTGATTGTATGTAAATTGTTTCTCAAATAAGGTGCAAAAATTTTAAAAGGAAAAAAAGTCCTTCAGAGGACCTCCCTGCTCCTGGATAAAGTCTGAATACCTTAACATGATCTGGCCCTTATTTACTATCCCTTGGCTCATTTCTCACCATTTCTGCCCACTCCAAACACTTATTCTAAGCTACCTGCATGCCCAAAAACTGCTATTCTCTGTTTCCTCTGAACCTTTAAACACAATGCTTCCTCTGCCTGGAATAACTTTTCCATTTCCCATTCATCGCCAAATCATAGACATCCTTCAGGACTCACAGAGGTAGCACTTCCTCCAATAAGGTTTGTCCATTCCAAGACTGTATTAGGTGTACCTCTTCTTGCTCCCAAAGTAAGTTATACTTCTTTCTAGCAAAGCATTTATTACTTTGTGATGTAACTGTTGTAATTTAAAAACAAAAAAAAACCCAAAACCATAGTGGACTGGTACCATTGAATGTATAGTCTGTAGTCCTCCCATATTCAGTAATTACTGAGTTAAATAATATAGACTAATTTCTATCAAAATAGCTGAAGGAAGTTATCAAGAAAACTCTACCATCAAGAATGACTTATTCTCCTAGAGTTGCAAACAGTTGAGATTTTATTGTAAACAGCAGTTTAGTTTTATACTATTATTAGTATTGTAGCTTATTTGTATCATGGGTTAAATATCCTTCTGTGAGTTTGTCTGGAAACCTAGTCAGACTTTATTATGTTGATTCTATGGAAAAATGCATTTTACATTCCAGTCAAATGACTCAAAAATACTACTCAGTTGAACCATGTGAAATTGCTGATATTCAACTATTTTTGACATATAAAAATAACAGTTTCATATGATTCAACCCAAATAAGTTTTGGAATACAACCCTACTGGCAAGTTGGAGATTATCTATACTTCCATTTATTAATTTTGTATTTAATACATGACTGTACTAAATATCCTGTAAGATGCTAATTTTGTACATTAAGACTATTGGGTAAAATTGTTCCATGTAGACAGTAAAACACAGTATTTGGAAGGGAGTTTGTACAGAATGTTAGGGATTTTTGGGTCCTACCCATTTTTTTCCAAGTAAACAGACATGCGGCAGTCAGTAATACATGAGGGCTTTGGAATTGCTCATATTTTGAACTGACACTAAGATGAAGATTCATTTGTTCTTCTTTCTTAAGCCCCAAACTCTCTAACCAGTCCATTTGTAAGATGAATTTTAATAATAATAGTAATAGCTAACATTTATTGAGTGCATATTACATGCTGAGTACTGTGCTAACTACTTGAGCAAAGTACTATCATTATCCCTGTTTACATATGAGAAAATTAAAGCTTGAGTAACTTGTCCAAGGTTACACAGCTAGTAAGTGGCAGAATTTGAATCAGAATCACTATTAATCTTACTACTGTCTGCTGTTTACCTCAAGCACATTTTTTACCACAATGAAGCACTCATTCTGAAAGATTATGGTTCAATTCAGTGAGTATATATTTAAGCTACGATTATCATTGGTGAAACCAGGCTCATTCACATATAAAACATTAATGTATTATTGTATTATTATGAGAGAGCATCATAAAACATTAGAGGACCAAATACCAAAATGAGTTTCCATGAGTGCTATAAAAGTCTAGGAAAGGGAGGGAATAATTTTGGACTTTGTCATGACTAACTCCCAGGAGAGAATTGACATAAATGGTACCTCAGTTTTGGATGCACAGCATTCCGGGAACAAACCAAAAGTTCAGCATAAATAGGAATGTGGCAAGAGTGTGGGTGTATAATAATAAATCCCAAGAGGGAGTAGCAAATTCAATTGTAATTCTGGGTGGGCATCATTTGTATGTGAACGAAGTTAGAAATCAGTGGCTAGGCTCTCTGAACCCCAGAAATAAATGGAGAAATGGGACTTGAAGGATGACTCATTAGATATTTGGAGTAGGAGAGGGTATTCAAAGATGAACCAAGATTTTATGCCTACATGATTGGAATAATAATGGTATCAAAAATAAAAGAATTGACACAGTGGAGGGGAAGATAAGCTCAGACTTCCAAAAACAAGCAAACAAACAAACCCGTTGCCGTCTAGTCGACTCTGACTCATAGTGACCCTATAGGACAGAGTAGAGCTGCCCCATAGGATTTTCAAGGCTGTAAATCTTTACAGAAGCAGACGGCCACATCTTTCTCCCACAGAGTGGGGTTCGAACCACCGAACTTTCGGTTAGCAGCCCAGAACATAACCACTGTGCCACCAGGGCTCTTTGCTAAGACTTTAGACACACTGAATTTAAGGTGAAGGTAGACTGTCTACAGCAAGTTAGTTTTTTTATGTGGGTTATGACTGACTGGGATAAACCTTTGACTCGTTTACTTGTTATTTTTACAGATGGCCCTACTGAATTTCTTCTTCCCTGAAGAAAAGTCATATTCTGAAGAGGAAAGTAGGACTGTTCGCCGCAATAAAAGAAGCAAAAGCAGTGAAGGAGCAGATGGTAAGTCTACTCAGGTGATTTCCTCCTTTATCACTCCTCAGTTATCTGTTACTCAGAGTACCCTCTGAGAACTCCCTTCCCAAGCCTGCTTCATCATTTCATGTATTGTCAACAGACCTAAGGTCACAGAAGAAGGTTTTTCCAGACTACCACTCAATCCGAGATCCATAGTAGCAATTGTGTCTCTCAAGATCACCCTTTGTATGGACCTCATCTTTCCTGGGGACATCCTACATCTGCTAAGGCCACCAAGAGGATTCTATCTTATTCTTGGAATTGACACAATGTTGTGCCATGCTGGCACTTATATAATGTGTTAATTCCAGTGATAAAGGTATCAATGTTGGTATCAGCTACCATGCCCAAATCTGAACTAGAACTAGTTTGTAAGTTCCTTGAGGGCAGGGATTGATTTCTCTTTGTGTATCCACAGAATCTAGCCTAGTATCTGGAATGTCATTGGTATTTGTAATATAAGTTGATGATGTCGATTGTTCCTTCAGCTCGGTAATGATGTGCAAATAGAAACCATCCCTATTGCAGATGAAACCGATTTGAGTTAACTAGCAATGCAGTCTGTGGGGACATAACAAAATGTTGAGCTAGATCCTGGGCAGGTCTTTGAATCACTCTGATATTTCAGTATCACTCTGTCAGCTGACAGAATGCTATCTGTTTGGCATAGGAGTTTGTAGAATGCATAGCTCTGGGCTGCTGAAAAGCCATCTGGACTCAAAGACAGCATGTCTCTGGCTACATCTGCCAATGATATGTGTCTGGGGGGTTACAAAGCAATATTACTTTATAAGGAAGAAAATGAGGTTTTTAAGCTGACATTTGTCAATGTGAGTGAAGGCAAATGATGGAAGCAGTTCCAGAAGGCATGAGCTATTGAAGAGATGGCGCCAGTTCTTTGTCAATAGGGACAAAAAGTAGAACCAGATGAAGTCTGAAAGAGAACTCAGAACAAGGACCCTGTAATAAAATTAAAAAAAACAAAAAACAAAAAAAAACAGAACAGTAACATAGATGGGACTTTCTAGCCAGTGGATGTGGCAGCAGCACTGAGCCTTTGAATGGAGAACAGGACCAGTGGGGCCATTCTCTGGAGCAGACACTTTGCATACAATTGATGACCAAGTTCAAGCCTAGGAAATATGGTTCATGAAGTAAAATGCACCCATTTTTCCCATACTACTTGCAGCCGGTTTCCTGGAAGTCTTCTGCCTATGTGGAAGCTGGGAGTTGAGAGTCATGATTAGTCCTTTCCTAATCACTCCACTCTCTGACACACTCTTTACCTTTGGCTCTTCCCCTGAGGCTGCTCCCGATACCAGCAAATATTTCATAATCCCTTGTTGGTAAGGAGAAGAAAGGTGGTAAGCCCGGCTACCACCACTGACTGCTCTGACCAGGATCACAACAGAGGGTTCTGGACAGAGCTGGAGAAGGATGTAGAGCATAATTCTAACTCACAAAAAAAAGACCGGATTTATTGGCCTAAAGGAGAGTGGAGAAACCTCGAGAGTATGGCCCCCAGACACCCTTTTAGCTCCGTGGTGAAGCTACCTCCAAGGTTCACTGATCAGCCTGGGAGTGGACAGCCCTGTAAAACCAAATGAGACTAACGAGGTACAGGAGTCCAGTGACAAGGGCCAGAAGGCAGAAGGGGACAAGGAAGCTGGTGATAGGGAACCCAAGGCTGAGTAAGGATATTGTTGATGTGTTGTGAGATTGTTAACCATTGTCATAGGGCAACATTTATAGTAACTGTTAAATGAGAAACTATTTTGTTCTGTAAGATTTCATCTTAAGTGAGAATAACAGCACAATTGGAAGAGCGTAGTCAATGTCACTGAACTGTGCATGTAGAAATTTTTGAAATGGTGTATCTTTGGCTATGTGTATTTTCACCAAAGAAAAAAAAGGTTGAGAAGTTAGAGGGTTAATATGTTGTGGGGTTGTTAAGCAATGTCATAAAACAACACGTGTACTACTGTTTCATGAGAAACTATTTGTTCTGTAAGCCTTCACGTGAAGTACAATAAAATATTAAAAAAAAGAAAGGTGGTAAGAGCAATATCACCGTCTGTAGTGGGCATGGTCTTCCCTTCCTCTTCTTTAGAGTGTTTATTCTCTCTTGATAAAAAACAGTTTTTCTCTCCAGTCAAGGCCAAAACCTCTCATTAATTGTCAGCACTTCTTATCTAATTCTCTCCTAATCTGATACTTTTTCAAGAGTAGTCAATTTGTGCCAATGCCAAGTTTCTCATGCAATCCCAGGTATTTTTTTGAAAAATTATTATAGCTGGCAGGAATTCAGGAACCCTTACAGTTAGGGGTATACAATGCCTGAGGGATCCAGGAATTTTATTAGATTTCCAGCCTTTCACCTGGGAGGCTACAGAACCACTTCTTTGGATGTGGTGGGTGGTACAGAATCCATATCTCCTTTTATTTTTGTACCATTCCTGTTGCTCTGCTGAGTGTATGCTATATTCATTGAATATATTCATCAAGTATTTACTGAGTAAATACAGTCTACATATACATGTGTATTGTATATATACAATATATAATACTAGAATGAATGTAATATTATAATACTAGAATGTAATATATAATGCTAGAATGAAAGCACCGTAAGGATATTGGTGTTTGTTTTGTTTACTTTTACATCCTCACTGCCTAGAAAAGGACCTGGCATAGTAGACCCTCAATAAATATTTCTTGTTGTTGCCTTCAAGGAGCTTAACTTCCAGTGCAAAGAGACACAGTAATCAAAGTTGGTGGTAATAAAATTTGTGAAGAAAAATCGCATGGAAAGAGAGAAAGAGAATGATGGATGTACTGTAAGGTGATCAGGGAATGCTTCTTTGATAAGGGGGCATTTGAGAAGAGACATGAATGAAATGGAGGTGTGAGCCATGTGAGTATTTGGGGGAAGAAGAAACAGCAAATGCAAAGGCTCTGAAGCAAAAGAATGCTTGGTACACTCCAGGAAGGTCAGTGTGGCTAGGAGGAAGGTAAGCAAGCAGGAAAGGGAAGATGAAGTTAGATAGCAGGATGCAGTCTAGGGCCTTGTAGGCGAAGGTAAAGACTCTGGCTTTTACTCTGGGTGAGATGGGGAGTCACTGGACAATTTTGAGTAGAGGAGTGACAGGATCTGACTTATGTTTTAACAGGATTCTTCTAGCTGCTGTATTGAAAATAGCTGCAGAGAGACAAGGACAGAAGCAGGGAGACCCATTAGGAGACTGTAACTATCCAAGCAAGAGAAGATGGTGGTTTAGGCCAGGGTGGATGGTGTGGGTAGTAAGGAGTGATCAGATTCTGGATAGATTTTGAGGACTGGCTGACAGGATTTTCTGATTTATTAGATAACAGGTATGAAAGACAAAAAAGAGCCAAGGATGACCCCACAGTTTTAGACTTAAGGAACTAAGTAAATAAATTTGATATCTTCTAAGCTGGAGAAGAACAGGGGAGGAGTAGATAGGGGAACGTGGGGAAGGAACCAAGAATTTAGTTGAACATGTTAAATTTGAAATACCTATTAGACAACCAAGTGAATATATTAAAGAGGTAGCTGGATATATAAATCTGCTGTACATCACTGTGTCTCAAGACAATGAACTGACTCTGTTTTGTACAAATAAAGGACTTCTCAAATCCACTAACTGTTCCTTGGAAACCCTATGGGGCAGTTCTACTCTGTCCTATACGGTCACTATGAGTCACAATCAACTCGACAGCAATGAGTTTTTGGTTGTCACTGAAGAAGTGGGTCAGTCTGTAAACTGTTCTGAACAGAGAAAGAAGCAGGATGATGGGACAGGTAGATCAGAGTGGGGTGAGTAGAGGCCAAAATTAAAAAAAAAAAAAAAACCTACGCCAAGAGGGAAAAAAAATTATGATAAAAATTTAGCTCTTCAGCTCAGGTTTGCAGCAAAAGTGTCTGAAAAAAAGTCGTTTACCTTGGATAGTTAAGAATATGACAAAGATTTCAGGAAAAAAACATTTATTAAAGGTCAAAAATAGAGACAAGTTTAAAAGAGAGCAGGAAAATCAATTCTAGTTCCTTGTATAATTTTTCTAATCTGTTACTATCTTTTAATTTTACTTCAATTCCCCAAACTTTATATATTTTATTGTTATTTGACAAGCCTCCTAGGCACTACCAGAAGGGCTTCAAAGATGAATTAAGCCCTCAGAGAAGCTTATAGTTTAGTGAGGGAGCAGATACACCTATAGGCAGCAGGTAAAATGAAGCAAAGATAGGGTGAAAGTGTTGAATGTGGATTCTGGAGTTTTACCTAACACAGCACCAGTACATAGAAGACACTCAGACATTTGTTAAATGAATGACCTAACAAACAAATGGGGGGTAGGGGAGTCTATATTTTTCATCCAGGAACTATAGATATTAAGCTTGATGATCTCCACTAATTCCTGTGGGAGGAAAAAATTAACAAGTAGTTCATGAACACTTAGGAAAAGGAAGGGAGATGGTGATCCTTATGAGCCTGCATAGATTCACCGAGAATAAACCAAGCTACAAAAGCCTGTTTTTGTCTTTTGATCAGACTGCTAACCTCATCGATTAGAAACATTATCATAGGTATGGTCTATCTTTCTTTAAAAAAAAAGTCAATGGAGAAGATACAGATAAACCAAAACAGGAAAATAAAGTCAACCACAGTTGCACCACTCAGAGATTTAAAAAAAAAAAAAAGTTAGTGGCTATTTCCAGATCATATCCAGTCGTTCTGACCAATCTTTCAAGTATGTTTGGACTGATCCCAATTTATCCATTTGAATTATTCTATAAATGAAGGTATTGGACTAGCTTAAGACCTCTTTAAAGTGTTAAAAAGCAAAGAAGTCCTTTTAAGGACTAAGGTGCACCTGACTCAAGCCATGGTGTTTTCAATCACCTCATATGCATGTAAAAGCTAGACAATGAATAAGGAAGACTGAAGAAGACTTGACACCTTTGA